GAGCAGGACAAGTAGGCCTCGGTCAATGTCCGCGTATGATATCACCTTTAATGCCGTCAGTCTATAACACTTAGTACAAGTCCCAGACAGAGCAGGACAAGTAGGCCTCGGTCAATGTCCGCGTATGATATCACCTTCAATGCCGTCAGTCTATAACACTTAGTACAAGTCCCAGACAGAGCAGGACAAGTAGGCCTCGGTCAATGTCCGCGTATGATATCACCTTTAATGCCGTCAGTCTATAACACTTAGTACAAGTCCCAGACAGAGCAGGACAAGTAGGCCTCGGTCAATGTCCGCGTATGATATCACCTTTAATGCCGTCAGTCTATAACACTTAGTACAAGTCCCAGACAGAGCAGGACAAGTAGGCCTCGGTCAATGTCCGCGTATGATATCACCTTCAATGCCGTCAGACTTTTCCTGGCATAAACTATGACACTTACTTACATGGGGGCCACGTTAGCGCAGTCAATAAGATGCTCGCTTTCAAATCCAGCTGCGACTTGCTGCAGCCCACGGTCGGTGTTCGAAACCGGGCGGCTCCCGGGGTTCACCCAGCCGCTAGGAAATGGGTACCAGAGTTGACACTCTGGGTTAAATGGTGGAACGTCGCTGTAGCTACAGAGTGGCGACACAGGCGGACAATTCTTATCAGCTGTCCGTACTGGTGGCAGAGCACTTATAGTTTATAACCGTGTGCAATGGCGCTGGTTCACATCTCCTAACTTTACTTTACTTTACTTACATGATTCTTGTATGACAAGCATGTTCTGAAGACAAAACACTGCAGTTTTCCCTGGCACCACATCCAAAGGAGTGATCTGTGACCTTCACCCCAAACTTCATTTCCTGAAGGTCAGTGCCCTCCTGGATTCAGAAGATGAATTTCTCCTCATTTCTTGTGGAGGACATTTAGCATCCTCAACTCATTTTCCTAATACTTGTGTATTTCCACCCTCTACCTTCAGGAGGTCAAGTTAGGAATTTCCTTTCATCATTCTGAGATCATGATGGTTATTTCTCTATTTTTAGTAATTCTGACAACTGACTTCATTTAGCTTATGTGCTGAGAAACAACAACTAGGACATGTAAATTACAGACTTCATTATCACACATCCACAATGAAGTCTGCTCTGAATCCAACAATGAGCCGTCGTGGTCAACTTAATATCAAATGTTTAGTTTCCTCATACAGCTAGACAACATTTCATACATACATTTCAAGATGCTGGATCCAGCCAGGGCTTTGGGTTGTGATGTGTGCTCCAGATGGCTTCCAGCCAGACTGAAATATAGAAACATTATACATAATAGTAGTCCTTATGAAAGAGAATAGGGGCTTTTGAGCTGAAATGCTATAGAAAGTTTCTCAGAATATCTTGGACAAAGAAGAGGAGAAATACTGACATCTTGAAAGATCTGAACATCAAGGAAGATTGGCTAATAAACAGCATCCTGTCTCGGAAGCTGAAATATTTTGGTCATATCAAGCACCACGACGGATTGTTAAAAAAAAATAGCAGAAGGCATGGTACTAGGAAGGAGGGGCAGGGGCCGATCAACATGAAGATGGGAACAGGATATAAGTGACTCTTTGAGTATGAAAGTGCATGAGGCGGGAGAGCTGGCGAGAGACTTGAGTTTCTTTCAGGCAGACCGTGATGACAGCGACGTTCTGCAAAGGACCTGCTACATGATGATGATACATAATAGTTGCCTTCACAACAGGGAATGCATGATATGAACTCCCAGAACCACCTGTGCCTTGCCATGACATACATCCGAACATAACCTTTTCAGTATATCTCCTGACATTACCCTTTTGTAATTAAATGTGCAATGTGCTCTGCTAGAGGTTTGTTTCTACACGCCACATTGCTGTATTGACGAACACTTAGTTTCTAGGACACACCAGAAACGAATGTTCAGTTATAGACCTTTTTTTGCTGAATCAAACATTTCACTGACAGCGCATTCTTTCGTCCTCGTGGTTGTTATGCCTGGCTGATTTCTGACGGCCTGGTCAATTCTCTCGCACACTGCTTTGAATCATCCGTATCTCTCGAATCACACATCCATCTCCTACTAAAGCCTTGTACCTGGTATAAGTAAATGTTGAAACTGGCAATCAGTAAACATTCAGGTATTCTATCGGAACAGTTATATGTTGTCACCAGTTCTCCATTCTCTTCAGGCGTTCTCTCACATACGACCTCTCGCAACCAGTTCCAAACTTCAACTCTCTTACTACCGTCTCTCGGTTCACCTCTTCCATTCCAGTCTCATGCTTTTCTTGTATCCCCAATTCGCTCACCATGGGATACTTGAGACCCACTTATCCCGTTTTTCTCTTGTATCACTGGTCTTCTGACCTTGTCCTCCCCATCGGAAACTCTCTGGGATTTCCCTGGGAATTCACAACATTACAAAATGTTATCTTCCTCTGTGGCATCTTCCATTTTTCAATCAAGTAAACTTGTCCTCAGGTAAGTCTTTGCATGAGCCCCATACATTATATCAGTCAAACTTTGATCTTGTTTAGTCATTCTTTTTCAACATTGTCTAATTCTTTGGTCTGTCTCTCCCAATGATACTTGGGCCACTAACCAGTGACACAAGCTCTTGGCAGACATGTTGTGCCCACTAGCCAGTGACACAAGCTCTTGGCAGACATGTTGTGCCCACTAGCCAGTGACACAAGCTCTTGGCAGACATGTTGTGCCCACTAGCCAGTGACACAAGCTCTTGGCAGACATGTTGTGCCCACTAGCCAGTGACACAAGCTCTTGGCAGACATGTTGTGCCCACTAGCCAGTGACACAAGCTCTTGGCAGACATGTTGTGCCCACTAGCCAGTGACACAAGCTCTTGGCAGACATGGTGTGCCCACTAGCCAGTGACACAAGCTCTTGGCAGACATGTTGTGCCCACTAGACAGTGTCACAAGCTTTTGGCAGACATGTTGTGCCCACTAGCCAGTGACACAATCTCTTGGCAGACATGTTGTGCCCACTAGCAGGTGGCTGTGTCCAGAAATAACATGAATTTGCTCTTTATAAGATATAGCTGGTCTCAAGCCAACCTTCTCTGCCCTTTTTTCAGACAAGCATGACAAGTTTGCTTTACTATTCTTTACTTTCTTATGGTCCCAGTGATGTGGTTAACTTTCTGAATAGTTTATTACTATTTAATTTACCATGATCTTTACTGCACTTGTTTGCATGATCCATCATTTCAAAGGCATTCACTGTTGCACCTGTTTGTCCACAGCTGACAGATGCACACCATTCAACTATATAAGTATGAATGTGCTTGATCTGTTAGAAGGTGAGGCGGTGAGCTAGCAATATGGTCAACCTATCTCTGGGTGTCAAGGCATTGAATATATAAAACTACATACCCTAGTCAGTTACGAGCCTACTGCGACCTATATGTTGAGCTATAGTTCATCATCTTCCTTTCTTGCAGTCATTTCTCAGTGGATCAATCAGGTGCCTTCTCCACAATGAAGGTTGGCTGCAATGAATCTCCAACATGCTCTGTCTCTTGTCTTGGTTGTACACTCTCTCAGACTGTTGTTCATCTATCTCTTGATGTTATCCTCCCTCGTGTAACACTGCCTACCTCTTGCACTCTTGCCTCTGACCTTTCCCTCCAGGTTGGTTTTTAAAAGTGTTAGGTCTTTTAATGTGGCTAAAGTATTTCAAGTGTCTTTCTCTCTCTCTCTCTCTCTCTCTCTCTCTCTCTTTCTCTCTCTTTTAAATGTTGTCAGTAATTCTCTTTAATATTATATGTAGAGCTGAATCATCATGTTGCTTCATCTTCCACATTTCATTTTCCTGTAGAGTTTAGACTATCAATCAACTGATGCCCAACCCACTTCAGACAGGCTCCTGATCAACATTGTTGGAGCTCCAGTTCTCTATTTGAAGAGTTAACTATTCCCACTCTAATCATCCAGTCAACACTCCCTCCACCCCCACCCCAAGAACACATTGGACACAATTCAGATGATCCAGCAACTGTCAGTTGCCCATGACTGTACCATACATTCACCAATCTAAACAGGAAATGAAAAAAAAAAACACTGACTCTGGGCAATCTAAAGCACACTAATAAAAAAATAGAATGCCGGTCAAAATGGACGCTAGGCAAGATCACCTGTTGTGAGCCATGGCAAAATCTTTTGCTTCTGCCAGATGGTGGCCGGTGCATTTTTGCTTCAGTTGTAGACTGAAAGGATAGTTTCATCTCCCAACTTCTGAGTTTAGTGCATGGCATGACACTGTGAGCTGCGGATTTCATTTGGAATATTTTTCTACTGTGACCAACGTGGTGGTGTAAATTGTAGATACAGAAAATGGCACGATGCCTGTTGTCGCAATATTGGTGGTGCCATTATGTTATTAATATTGATCGCGTGTGCAACTGCTGATCTGTTGGTGACTTCTGCTACCATCCATGATGAACTGCATTTCTTATGTCGCACTGTTTGTGTTAGCACTTCAGATGGCTACCATATGCTTTCAATGCGTGTGTATGCTAGTGCATATGCTGAGACAGCAGTCTGTCAATTTTTCCACAAGGGACTGTGATAAACATTTTGTGGTAACTATGGGGTGACCTATTTGCTATGAAGCTGAAACTAAGATTACCAGATTACACTAATCAAAAATATATAAATTATCATCAACAGTCCAAAATGGATTGAACATTTCATAAACCACAACAGTTCTTGCCTAACTACAGCATTTAAACACACACACACACAAAGTAACTTTACAATGCCTAAAGGGTGTTTAAAGAAGGAAAATAGAATTAAAACATTCATGCAAGATGTGACCCCCCAAAAAAAAATAACATTTTAAAAATCAAACCATATGTAAACCAATGAAAACAGTTGTAAAATTTATAAACCAGGAATATGACAAATGAGCACGCAAGAAAGAAAACGTCAGACACACACTAATAAATGCAATGACATGAAAAAACTTACAAATGACATGGGATGCCAATTTCTGTTGCTTTCTTGAACTCATGAATGAAGGTCTCGGAGATACGAGGATACTCTCCCATATTGGCCATGATCTTCTCAAACAGCCCTGGCATGTTGCGACAGAGAGAGAACAGCAGACGGTAGGCTGTCTTGTTGAAGGTCATGTAACCTAGAGCTACAGCAGCAGCATTTCTCACCTGCCAAGATGACAACAAAACTATGCATTCAGAAAACTGTCCAGAAGATGCCAACAGTCAATTCTATCTGTGGCAGGGTGCCAAAGAACATATGTTAATTTTGGTGGCAATACACTCAAGGATTTAAAATGTGGCCAGCGGCAGGTTTAAGAAGTTGATAAAAGGGTTTGTACTGGGTTGTGTGTAATCTCTCGGTGTGTTCCCTGCCGGCCGTGATCAGTTGCTAATCGGCTGCTGATGCTGATCGCAGGTGGTCTCATCGCGGCACAAGTGCGATTGACCGAGCCGAGGTAGAGTTCGGCTCATTAATTACAGGGGTGGTATGTTCTATGTACATAAAGTTTAATATGATCCCACACCTTTGCCGATGTGAACATGGAAAATGCCACTATCTGATTTTGTTATCCTTCCCATTCTTGTTAGTTCTAAGTTTATTAAAAAGCTTTCTCTATGTCAGTCTGAACCGATAGCATTATTCTGGCTGTCTGTGTGAATTCCACAGCTGTAGTAGAATTCCTATTTACAGGATTTCGGTTGGCATACATCCCTGGGCATTGCTGTTCCTTCTTAAGAAGGTCTCCGCCATGAATTGGTCAAGCTGTTTACCACTCATTCTGAAGGTAGCTAGTTCAATTCTGGTCCATCAATAAGTTCATGAGTGCAACCTTCCTCATAACAACATAGAGAGGGGCATACATGTTGAACTTTTGTATAACACTCTTGACAAGAACACACACACACAGAGTGAGTGAGTGAGTGAGTGAAGTGAAGTATAGTGGAGTGTAGTGGAGTGGCGTGGTGTGGCGCGGAGAGAGAGAAAGAGAGAGTTGTATGGTATAAAAGTAAGTGCAATGAATCTGACCCTGTCAATGTTACAACTGTAAACATGTTTGTTTATTTTTATGAATTCTGTGGCTAAATATGCCAAGATGCTGCTTTAAAAACAGTGACCAGTGACTTCAAGCCAGTAAAGTTCTGAAACTCCTAGATCATGCTCTTGTTGTATTTTGCCAGTTTGTCAACCTCTGGAGGCACATTAATGGGATTTTGACATTTAGAAAAGCCAAAGAATGATGAGGCACACACAAAAAGGGGAGATCACTTAGAATGGAATGATGATATGACAAAGGTCATACAGCTGCCAGGTGGAGAAACATACAGATCATGTACATCAAGCACATCGGACAAGTTCATCATGTGCTTGGATCCCATTTCTTTTAGATCTCCCTCAATACGTAGTGACTGACAACAGGGAGTTCTGGATTGGTTTACTATTCTTCTTTGGCTATCTGTATATGTTCATGTCTGGCAACACTTCTTCTGACATAAAATTCTTCTAAAAATATAGTTCTAAATATTACTATCAAGAAAATATAGCAGTGAGTTGTAACAAATGTCTGGAGTGTTGTATGAAATTTCTGGAGTGTTGTATGAGATGTTTGAAGTGTTGTATGAAATGTCTGAAGTGTTGACGAAAGGTCTCAAGTATTACATGAAATGTTTGAAGTGTTGTATGAAACGTCTGGAATGCATTTTTCCACACATACACACTAACAAACACATTCATACACATTTTGTTATGTTAAAAAAACCCACATATTTCTGCCATTGAATGTTGAACCGACATCACAGCACTCGGGACACTCTCATAAATACTTTGTTCCTATCCTCAGCAGTAAGCTGAGAGCTCTAATTTCAATGGCACCAGTTACTGTCTGTATATCCGCCTCGCCTTTCCCTTCAGTGCTGAGAGTCAATCAGTTCCCTTGCTAACTCCTAACAGCACCATTCTCCTCAGAGAGTAATATTCTATCTGTACCACCCCACTGTTCACTCGCTCCAAAAACATCTAGCTTGTCATACATCACTTCACCACCAACTGGTGCAGAACTGGCCAGTCTACCTGCCTGCCTATTTCCCAACACTCCAGCATGACCTGGAGAAAACATCCAAAGGATGCTAACTACTCAAGACCTCTGAAGCCATGCTTGCCACTCTGCATGGAGCATACCGGTCTCCACTTTTCTCAACATGCTCTGTAGTCAGTTACAATTACCACATATGTGTACAGCTGATTCTCAAGCCAGCGGAAAGCAGCAGAGACTGCCTCCACCTCCATTCTCAAACTAGACGTGATGTCATATGCCAGACTTTGCTGTATTAAACAACGTCTATTTGCCTTTACTATGACCCCCCCCCCCATGCACATCGTCTACCCCTCAACACAGAGCCATCTGTATATATAATCACATCACCTGGGCAGGAATTGTCATGAACTATTTATTGAACTTCAGATTCTGCAGCACCAGCTGGCCAGTTTCTACACTCACTACCTAAAGTGATCAGACCCTACACAAACCTGCTTCTTGCTCAGACACTTTGACCCACTCCTCTCCTCTCCCACATTTATCAACCATGCACACATGTGTAATTGTGTCTTCAGCCTGCACAATCCAAAACCTTCCTCTTTTCAGTCTGTGACACTTAGTTCTACCTGGGGCTTCACTCAGGAGGTGCTTCTTGTCTGAGATATTACTCTGCTTGCAGAACTTTCAGCATATCTGCAACTGTAGGCAGTGCAAGTATATATCAAATACATACTACAGAGGTATTTCTTTTACATCCCAGAATTACCCGTATGGTTTTATTTTGTATGTGTTCAAGTATCATCAGCTGACTCTTTGATTTGGTAAGCATTCCAAGTCCATAATGTATCACCGACAGGATAACACACTGGAACATTGTGAACAGCTTTCTTTGTTCAATGTCCATTGTTGCCATAATCTTGAGAGCACTGAGTCATTTTTGGCCTTTCACCACAACTGCCTCTACATGATCCCTGAAGGACAGGCTTCTTTTTAAAATGATACCCAGGTATCTCAGTTTGCTTTCTTTTTTGATATTTCTTGTCATTAACTGTGAGGCTTGGAACATTAGTTTTTACAATTCTATTGTCCAGAGAGAAACACAAAACAGCTGCCTTTTCTGAATTGATGACAGCACCCATCACTATACACCAGTCAGTCACTTTGTCTACAGTTGCTTGTAGCTCTTGACCGGTCTGTTTCCCATCACTATACACCAGTCAGTCACTTTGTCTACAGTTGCTTGTAGCTCTTGAGCGGTCTGTTTCCCTTCACTATACACCAGTCAGTCACTTTGTCTACATTTGCTTGTAGCTCTTGAGCTGTCTGTTTCCCTTCACTATACACCAGTCAGTCACTTTGTCTACAGATGCTTGTAGCTCTTGAGCTGTCTGTTTCCCATCACTATACACCAGTCAGTCACTTTGTCTACAGTTGCTTGTAGCTCTTGAGCTGTCTGTTTCCCTTCACTATACACCAGTCAGTCACTTTGTCTACAGATGCTTGTAGCTCTTGAGCGGTCTGTTTCCCTTCACTATACACCAGTCAGTCACTTTGTCTACAGTTGCTTGTAGCTCTTGAGCTGTCTGTTTCCCTTCACTATACACCAGTCAGTCACTTTGTCTACAGATGCTTGTAGCTCTTGAGCGGTCTGTTTCCCTTCACTATACACCAGTCAGTCACTTTGTCTACAGTTGCTTGTAGCTCTTGACCGGTCTGTTTCCCATCACTATACACCAGTCAGTCACTTTGTCTACAGTTGCTTGTAGCTCTTGAGCGGTCTGTTTCCCTTCACTATACACCAGTCAGTCACTTTGTCTACAGTTGCCTGTAGCTCTTGAGCGGTCTGTTTCCCATCACTATACACCAGTCAGTCACTTTGTCTACAGATGCTTGTAGCTCTTGAGCTGTCTGTTTCCCATCACTATACACCAGTCAGTCACTTTGTCTACAGTTGCTTGTAGCTCTTGAGCGGTCTGTTTCCCATCACTATACACCAGTCAGTCACTTTGTCTACAGTTGCATGTAACTCTTGAGCTGTCTGTTTCCCTTCACTATACACCAGTCAGTCACTTTGTCTACAGATGCTTGTAGCTCTTGAGCTGTCTGTTTCCCATCACTATACACCAGTCAGTCACTTTGTCTACAGTTGCATGTAACTCTTGAGCTGTCTGTTTCCCTTCACTATACACCAGTCAGTCACTTTGTCTACAGATGCTTGTAGCTCTTGAGCGGTCTGTTTCCCTTCACTATACACCAGTCAGTCACTTTGTCTACAGATGCTTGTAGCTCTTGACCGGTCTGTTTCCCATCACTATACACCAGTCAGTCATTTTGTCTACAGTTGCATGTAACTCTTGAGCTGTCTGTTTCCCTTCACTATACACCAGTCAGTCACTTTGTCTACAGATGCTTGTAGCTCTTGAGCGGTCTGTTTCCCTTCACTATACACCAGTCAGTCACTTTGTCTACAGATGCTTGTAGCTCTTGACCGGTCTGTTTCCCATCACTATACAGCAGTCAGTCACTTTGTCTACAGTTGCATGTAACTCTTGAGCTGTCTGTTTCCCATCACTATACACCAGTCAGTCACTTTGTCTACAGATGCTTGTAGCTCTTGAGCTGTCTGTTTCCCATCACTATACACCAGTCAGTCACTTTGTCTACAGATGCTTGTAGCTCTTGACCGGTCTGTTTCCCTTCACTATACACCAGTCAGTCACTTTGTCTACAGTTGCTTGTAGCTCTTGAGCTGTCTGTTTCCCTTCACTATACACCAGTCAGTCACTTTGTCTACAGTTGCTTGTAGCTCTTGAGCTGTCTGTTTCCCTTCACTATACACCAGTCAGTCACTTTGTCTACAGTTGCATGTAACTCTTGAGCTGTCTGTTTCCCTTCACTATACACCAGTCAGTCACTTTGTCTACAGATGCTTGTAGCTCTTGAGCGGTCTGTTTCCCTTCACTATACACCAGTCAGTCACTTTGTCTACAGTTGCTTGTAGCTCTTGAGCTGTCTGTTTCCCATCACTATACACCAGTCAGTCACTTTGTCTACAGATGCTTGTAGCTCTTGAGCTGTCTGTTTCCCATCACTATACACCAGTCAGTCACTTTGTCTACAGTTGCTT